TTTGTTAAAGTGACAGTCTGATTACTCAGAGCCACCTTCGGTCCAATGTTCCTAACATTGCTTCTTTTTTTTTGTCAACCTCACTCCTTCTGTTGCTTCAGAGGGGCATTGTCTTTTTTTTCTTTAATTTCTTATACTTTTACTACAGCTCTCATCTGCTATTTTGTTACAAAAAACGAACAATCAACTAAACAAACAAAGGTTAAGTTGATTTGGACTTAAACTAACATTCAGTTGCTAAAATGTTGCAGAATCCCCTATTCCTAACAGTTGTTCTCAAGAGGTCTCTGGGGACCTGAAAGATGGGGCCCTACAATCATGGGCAAAGGTCTTACAGGTTATGGGGGCCCATGAACTACCCTTCAGGGTTTGGGGAAGTAGAACCAGGGTGCCTAGAAGAAAGTGTGGAAGTAACAATACAAGCAAATGTAACTAACAATACAAGTGTATCAATAACAGAAATCAACAAGAAAATGATTATTAGAGAACCTAACAAAAAATAAACCTGATGCACTGGGGACCAAAGTCGTTTGGACAGAGGTGGATATGATTGATAATTTGGTTGGAGATGAGGGAAGTAGAGAGAGGAAAAGGCATTTACCCTGTCTAGTGTAGTATCCCCTCTCTCTCTGGACCCAATGCTAGCAAAGGACACTCACCAGAGACAGACACAGGACATGCAACACAGACTTTGTCGCGACACTATAACCATGGTATTTTTAGAACTCTTCAGCTGGTACCAGCTCTCCTGATGTTCCGGTTCACAGGCTGAAAGATAGAAGCTTAGAAACAAATTAGCACCGTGCTCCCACCACGGCAGACCCTGCTTGGTCTCTGCCACAGTGTGTCCGGTACTTGGGGCTGCACAAATGTTCATTAAGCGGTGCATTTCTCATGAGTTTAAATCCTCCCTTTCTCCCAATAAAAGGGCATTAACACTCCATCTAGAAAAAAATTCCATTTTAAAATCCCCAGCCACTTTGCCATGGCCTGGAGATCTGAGGCAGAAGCAGGCACTGTTGTTACTGTTGCAATGGCATTTTGGCCCTGGGAAGAGGAATCTACCCAAATATCCCCTTCCCAATCTCCAGAGGGGTCCCAAAAGTCTGCCCCTTCTGGGGTCTCAAATGTCCCTTCTCCTGATGTTACTGCTGCAATTTGTCTATTTGCAAATATTTCTTTTTCAATTTGTTTCTTTTTCTTTTGTATGCTGCTGTAAGATTTGAGAGTGCTGTTTTAACTCTCTGCACCCATCCTTAAGGGCATCTAACTAGGTTTGGGTACTAATGGACAGACATTTTCATTTTTCTGCTTTTGCAGCAGAGACCTGTAAATCTTGGTGCAGTTTTTTGTTTTCATTTTTACATTTAGCCAATTGAAGGAATACCTCATTACAGGTTTTCCATAGAAGCCAAAC